GATACCACCTCACGCCAGTCAGTGGTTGAAATGAACAAATCAGGAGACTATAGATGCTGGCGAGGATGTGGAGAAACGGGCACCTTCCTACACTGCTGGTGGGAATGTAAACTAGTGCAGCCCCTCTGGAAAACAGTGTGGAGATTCCTCAAAAAATTAACAATAGAACTCCCCTAGGACCCAGCAATAGCACTGCTAGGAATTTATCCAATTTATTTATGAGTGCTGTTGCATAGGGGTTCATGTACCCCAATGTTTATAGCAGCACTTTCAACAATAGCCAAATCATGGAAAGAACCTAAGTGTCCATCAACTGATGAATGGATCAAGAAGATGTGGTTTATCTATACAATGGAATACTACATGGCAATGAGAAAGAATGAAATCTGGCCATTTGTAGCAACGTGGATGGAACTTGAGGGTATTATGCTATGTGAAATAAGTCAGGCAGAGAAGGACAGATACCTTAGGTTTTCACTCATATGTGGAACAGGAGAAACTTGACAAAGGACCATGGGGAAGGGGGAAAGTAGTTAAGAAGAGGGAGGGAGGAAAACCATAAGAGACTCATATACTGAGAACAAACTGAGGATTGATGAGAGTAGGGAAAGAGGAAAATGGGTGATGGGCCTGGAGGAAGGCACTTGTTGGGATGAGCAGTGGGTGTTATATGGAAATCAACGAGACAATAAACTATAAAAATTTTAAAAAGAGAAAACACACTTTGTAAGAGAATATGTACAGTAATTATAAATGAAAAAAATAAAAAATGGACATAGTTAACAATCTGATGAGAGTTCATTATGATGTAATTGACAAGGAAACTCGGTTATTTCTGTAATACATAACACGTTGATATTCAGAATGTCAAGTGACAACATTATTACCAAAATGTATTAAAACTCTAGGAATTGCACATATCTTTGAACAGTTACAGCATTTATCCAAGCAATATAAACTAAGATTTACCAGTATGTAACAGGGCTTTTCAGTTAATGTACCAAATAAAAAGGCCTTCTTTGTCAAAAAACATTCTTTACAATTTAATTCCTTGGAAGTTTGTTAAATGTTAGAACGTTATAGAGTATATCTGAAATGGGATTCCAATCATCACAAATCTCAAAGCTTTAAAATATGTATTTAAAGATGGCAGTAAGATATTCCAAAGGCAAATATGTAGGGTTATATAGTTGTTAGCAAAACTTAGCTCCTTTCCCAATGAGAAGTTCTAACTAAGCAATCAATAACCTGAAAAAGACAAAACCTAAAGTTGTGGTTTTCCCAGCAGACAAAAGAGAAATACAAATTTCTCTGTATATATATATATTTTTTTTATCAAGAGCCAAACAATAAAAAAAAAACTTTGCCTTTTGAACAGAGAGAAAAGCAGAATTTCAACCTTATACCAGTGTACTTTTAAAAGTCCATTCATTACAACTTATTCTGTCCTAACTACACATAAAATTCCAAAGATTTCCCTTCATGAACCTTCTACAACTTTCCTTTGCATTCAAATTTTCTCCAAACCAGTCTCATTTAGGACAAAATTACTTTCTTTTACCTGCAACAAAAAAATATATTTCCATTCCTTCTCTCCTTTTTACACATTCCTACTTTTCTACATAGAGAATTGCTTTCCTTATTTCTATCAGTCTTAATTGTGTTTAGCAGAATTTTGTCTCTAAGAAACCTGTCTCCAGTGGAGACTAAGGAGTAGGCAATTGTTAACTGTTACAACAGAATCCTTTAGATAACTGTTACAACAGAATCTTGACAAATTCAAGATTCAATTAAGCACAAAACATGTTTTCCAATAGACCCAAATGTTCCAGTTTCTCTGCAATAAGAAGTCAAAAGCACAAATCTATGTTCAGTAATCAGTGCTTTAGCACTCCATTCTATTTGGAAAAGACCTAGATATCCACTGAGTTCAATCCCATTTTTCCAAGTTTCAGATTACCAAAGACATTGAAAGCTATCTTAACAATTATCCATGAAAACTTTGAAGATACACAAAATCAACCATTATTTTAAGTCATCTTTTTGCTAACAAATAGCAACAGATACCTCCTGAGCTTATTTGGCCTTTAAGAAACCTCGATAGAATAAAAGTTTCATATTTAATGCTGATAACTCTAAATACATGTCTATCTTAGTTAAATCAATAAACTTAAATAAGCTTAAAGGCCAAATACATTCCACCTCCATCCACTTAAAGGATAATCGATTTGTTCCCCATTATCACTTTTTTTTTTTTTACCTGGGACAGCAGTGGGGGAATCTGAAGTGGGCGATCCCAGGGGGTGCTCATTGCTCCTTGACATTGAGGGTGGGAAGATGGTGGATGGTAAGGGTCAGTTTTTTTGCAGGTCGCACAGAAGGTGATGCAGAACCAGGAGGAGGGAGAGGGGAAGGCAGAAAAGGCGAAGTCCCAGAAGGCAGAGAAAGGGGAATTCTTGGTTCTAAACCTTGTTAGCTGGGAAGGAGGGGGCCCCATGTTTGTTGGTTGGTTTGTTTGTTTGCTTGTTTGTTATCCACCAAAGTGGAAATAGGAAGTCTATGTCAGGCTAGAGAAGACAGGGGATTTCCCTGAAACAAATGGAGTTTGGGCAGCTGCTTGGGGATATTCTTTAAAGTCCACATCCAGAAGCAGACTAACAACAGTTGGCTCCAATTAGAGCCATTAACTCAGGAAATGAACGAGGGAGAGGCCTCCACCTCTCTTAGGAGGAGGAACAGAGAGAAAGAGTCAGCATCCCTTTTGTCAGGGATGGATTGTGTTTTTTCTAGCAACTGAGTTCCATCAGGAGGAGGGCTGTTCAGGCATCCACTGTGTCAGGAGGGAGTTGACTAGCCGAACATATTTGGGCAAATACATTCTGCAAGAGGCCTTTGGCTCTGGGTCCTGACTTAGAGCTCTGAAGGCCTGGACCTAGGGTGCCTTTGTCCATTGACCCTGTTTCCTCCAGAAGAGATCTAACTGCTAGATCCTACTAAGACCCTGCCATTTTATGGGACATCAGTCCTTTCCTAAATTTTGCAATTTGAATTGCTTCCAGTGGGTTAAAAAAAAATCACTGGGGACTTAGGAGAGGCTCCCTTCCTCTTCCTCCTAGAGAGAGAAAAGTAGAAAAGGTCAATTACCATGAAAATCCACACCCCCCACCAAACTCCCAGGCGGTGTCAACTGTGCAAGATATATCAGAGGTTCCTTAGGTGCCAAAGTGACCCAAGGCATATCTCGAACCAAATTGTTATGACCACCGACCAATGATTAAGGGCCTCTGTAGAAGGGATGCTCATGTCTCCCCGCTTTCCCACTGCATCCTAGGCCACAAATAGGTGCTGGTAGATGGACCTAGTTTGCCTTGCTGAGTTTGCCACCGTTTTTAACTCATCGGAAACACTGGAAAATTTTATAAGGGGGAATTGCCAGATTTTGTAGCTTAAGTAGTAGTTAGTAGAGGACATTGATGGAAAACAGTGACGACAGAAACCCAGCATGATTTACTCTACATGCCAACACATACAATCTTTACAGCCAACTTCCTAGGAAATGGTCCCCAGTTGGATTTTAATTCAATCAAGTTCTCCTTTTGTGAGCTTGCAGGGGAGGTCCCACAGCCAGAAGCGGCTAGACCAGGGATGTGGATGGGATCACTTTAGACCAATAAGGAGGAAACATCACACAGGAGTGTTAAGATTTGCAGCCACTTAGGTGGCTATCCCATGTCCAAACCCAGACAACTATGTATAAGGACAGGAAGAAAGAGAGGGCACATGTTTCTAGGCCTTTTTACCATTCCAGCCTGGGAATTCACTTCCAGGCAAAAGGCAGGCTTTCTCCTCCCTGTAGAGTAGCCACAGGCTAGAGGAGCACAGACTGAGCAATGGAGAGGAAAGTGTTCTAATAAGACCATAGTCATTGAAAAGCCCCCGAAATAAAAATAAAGGAAGAAAAGAGAAAGTACTCACCACATTGGCACCAAAGCTCAAAGTCCAGATGAAAATATCCACACCCCCACATTGGACGCCAAATGGTGAGGTTTTTGAGTGGGGAGGGTGGGGAGTTCCAGAGCCAACGACCAAGAAATAATTCTTGAAGACATCTTTGGTGCAAAAAAAGTGATCTTATTAAAGCGCAGGGACAGGACCCGTGGGCAGAATAGGCTGCACTGAAGTTTCGAAGAGTGATTGGCTTTATTCTAGGATGTTGGGGGAGGTAAAATCAAAAGGGAAGGAGGCCTCTAGAAGGACTTTGATATGCTGAAGAGGATTCTAATCTACCTGAGGCCTTGCTTTTATCAAGCTAAGGTTGTTTTACCTCTAGTAAGGCTTTAACATTAGGAATGGTAAGGGTTTCTGGGGAAATGTTGTACTGTGTTATTGCCTCAAGTATTTGTCACTGGGCTGCAGGGTATCAGGAAAGTTAATTTTACCTGACATTTTCTTCTTGCCTTTCTTCTCCACATCAGCATGGAGGGAGGGGTGTTAATAGGGAGTCCAGGACACTGAGTCTACCGTTTTCTGGAGATGAGACTATGGATAAGATTGCCTTTTTCTTCTAATTTACTAAGATATTTGTCAACTGATGGAGACTCATGTCCTGCATGATTGGGATCTCTATCAGTTAACCATTTGTTTTCTTTCTTTTCCTTTGTTCTTCAGCAGCCAGATGAATGTCACACATATTCCTATGAGGGGTGGTTCTAGCTTGTACATTATGCTTCATCTTCACCTACAGTCCCTTCCTTCAGGGTTCACCACTCAAAGCCCAGGCTAGGGGAGCTGATTCACCTATAGCAGGCAGAAGAGACAAAGAGGTCTCTAGGAGTCTCATCTGAAGCCAGAGAACCCTCGGGTCAGGCATTCCATTATCTCTGGCCTTTGTGGTAATATCTAGGAGACAGTGTCCAGGGGCTGGACCCTTCACAACCTCCATGGAAAACCAAGCCCCCATGAGGAAACTACTTCCCTCCTGGACAAAGCTGGGATCAGACATGGCAGGAACACTTCTGGGGGTCCAGGCCGAGGCCTGGGCTCCAGAGCCCAAGACTATGGCCAGAGACAGCCGATGGTATCAGTGATCTCTCAAGAATGAGCCTGAGTCCTTGAACTCACTGTGACCCAAAGTACCTGGTATCCAAGGTGGCAGGGTAGAGAACCCCTCTTGGGGGCTTAGACTCCCACCCCTTTTTTACACAGTGCAGATGCATGTCCCCTATTGACCCCCACCAGGATGGAACTGGGACTGTAGCCTCAGAGCTCTGCTATGTCCAGCTGTCTCTCATTGATGGCTGCATGCCCAGCTTGGGGTTTGGGTCCACTGGGCCCACAGAGGACCCAGCTGAGGTGTGGATCCACTCTGTCAATGGGGCATGGATGAAGGGAGGATCTGACTCAAGGTGGGAATTATGAGGCTTTATAATGGTAGGGATTTGAACAAAAAAAGAATTCTTGAGATATCTGGTGCACAAAAGGTGATTTTATTAAAACACAGAGATAGGACTCTTGGGCAGAAAGAGCTGCCCTGGGGTTGCGAAGAGTAACTGGTTCTATACCTTGGGGTTGGGGGACATAGACTCAAGAGGAAGTTTCTAAAGGGATTTTCATATGCTCAAGAAGACTCGCACATTACTGGAGGCCTGGCTGTTGTCAAGCTAAGGTTCTTTTGCCCTCCTGCAAAGCATTAGCATACAGACAGTAGCCAATACCTGGGAAATGTGATACTCCATATTTGTCTTAAGTAGTTGTCAGTGGGCTGTAAGTCATAACGAAATTTAATTCCATCTGCCATTTCCTTCTTGCCTTTGTTCCCCACATCTCTATGGAGGGAGAGTGATATTTGGGCTCTAGGAAATGGAGTATGGGTTTCTTGATATTAGGCTATTGATAAGATTCTCTTTTTCTCCTAATTTCCTAGGACATAGGTCATGCATAACTGTGATCTCTATCAGTTAGCCATCTGTTTTTTCCTTTCCTTTGGTCTTTGGCAGCCTGGAGTGACTGAGGAATGTGACACAGATCCTACCTGGGGGAGGGGCATGGTAACAGATGCTTTGCCCTCAGCTTGCCTTATACTCTCTCATCAAGGACACTCCCCAGTGGGCCTTTGGGGTTGGGGAGGGGAAGGGCTTCTCACTTTGTGCCAGGGCTTGGGATGGGTCCCTGGGAGGGTCAGGATCTGGGCTCCATGAGCAGCACAGGGTACACTTTGTCCTCCCCTACGAGAAATGTCCCTTTGAGTGGCCTCCCTTTCTCTGTACCTTCAGAGAACCACAAAGGAGCGTGGGCTCTGTTGGTGTGAGGCATTCTCTGCTTTCATCAGGTGCAGGAAGGGGGTCCCACCACACTTACCCCACCCTGCACTTGGGCCTCATCAGAGCAGCTCTTAGAGGTCCGACATGACAACTGGTCCAGATCATAGACCCCTGAGTACACAGAGTGCTAACCAGGGGGAAGAGAGTGTGGAGAGAGTCACTGTCTTTGCCAGAGATGTCGAGATATGGGGAATGTATCCTTCAGCCTCCTGGATCTTCCTGCTTCTCATCTTGTATAATCCTGACCTGGGGGAAAGGGCAGAGCAGTTGCCATAATCTTCAACATGAGTTGCTGGCAGTTGCCTGACCCTTCCAGAATTTATCAAAGGATAAGTCGCTGCACCCTGGGATGAGCCATTGGCCACAGAGACTATAAATAGTACCACACCCCCACCCCCAGAAGCCTCTTCACTCACCCCCTCTTCCAAAGAATATCTGGAGCTGTGTGTGCTTCCTCAGCCCTGAAGTCAGGCCCTGTGTCTCCTGTGACTGAGCCTTATTCTGCTGGGGGCCCTGCAGATCCAGGCCCAGGACTTCACCCTGCAACTGATCACAGCCTCGTCTCTGCTTAAAGTCCCTGTGCAGCCTGATCTCCAAAATGTGCAGGTAAGGGACCTGGAGGGGCAGATGCATGGAGGCCCCAAGAAGAGTGTAACAAGAGGGGAGGAGAGGCAGGATGGGCTCAGGCTTTACCTCAGTCTGCCCTCAGGTCCCCTGATGGAAGACACACCCCATGTCCCCATCCACACCCAACTTTGCTGACAAGAAGATCCGCTGAGCAGAACTACCCAGGTCCACACTCTCTTCCATAGTCCCTGCAGTCCATGTAAGGTGGAAACACCTTCAGGTCCTCTACATGATGGGGAAACTGAGGCTCAGGGACATAGCTGGCCGCTTGTCAAGGGTCACTCAGTCCCTGAAACACTCAGGGCTTCTGCCTGGCCTGATGGGCTCTAGCTCTTGCTGTGTTGTCAGTCTGGGTTCCTCCAGCACAGTTAGATCGGCTTCTGGTTCAGGGCCGGGCTGCCTAGAGGTGCCTGCAGAGATGGAGCAGAAGGGACCTTTGGGGCTGCTCCTGGCTCTGCCTGTCATCAGCCCCCACTGTAGTTCCAGGGGAAATGGTACATCTTAGGATTGGCAGGGAACGGTTTTAATAAAGAAAAACACAGCAAGTTGAAGATGTTTGCCGCCACCTATGAGCTGAACGAAGACAACAGCTACAATGTCACCTCTACCGTGCCCAGGTGAGAGCCACCACCTACTAGAAGAGCATGTGGGGCCTATGGGGCTGCCCTGGAAGTCCAAGAGGTTGACTAATGTCATAGCCAAGGGATGGCCAAAGTTGAAAGATGATCATCCTACCTCTGGGTACTGGATCCCTGTATTTATTTCTTCTTTTATTCACTAGATCAACATTTCTTGGCCACTTCAGCACAGACACAAGACAGTATTGTAATAGACAAAGGTGGTCGTCAATGACAAGACAAAGAGAGTGCAGGGTGTTGTAGAATTGGAGGAGGGTCACTGGATCCAGCCTGGGATCCCATTAGGGTGTGTCAAGGGCTTCCAGAGAGGTGGTCTATGGTCTGGGTCTTGAGGAACCAACATGCATCAGAAGGAGGCTTGGGTCCTTCATGGAAGGGCTGGTGGACTGAGTCAGAGTTAGCCACCTCTTTTAGAAATGGTGAGCCATCGCATGGTTGCCCTGAGCAGGAGCTCATGAGCAGTCTGGAGGGGGGACTGGCCACAGTGGCAGGGGCCTCAAGTACTGGTGAGGAGTAGGTCTGGCTGCAGCAGGCACAGGAATGATGGTGAGTAGCCCAGGAGGCTGATCAGTCATAGATGTGAGATGACTAGAGTAGGGGCAGATTAGGACCTACAGAGAGGAGCCAAGTATTACCCAGTTCCACTGGATTTCTGGCCCTGTACCTGGGGATAGGGCTCTTGCATCTCTCATGGAAGTAACAGAAGAAAGACAGGTGTGGGGTGATTGGTTCTGGGGTACCAAGGGACAGGATAGGATGCAGGTGAGAGTTTGGGTTGGCCCAGCAGCTAAAGGGGTCTTTGGCATCCAGCAGACTGGACCCTCAGTGGTGAATCCTTCAGGAGAGGTTTCAATAGGAGCCCACAAAATAAGAATAGGGGACAAGGGTGGACACCTGGGTGGCTCAGTTGGTTAAGCGTCCAACTTTTTCTCTGGTCATGATCTCACGGTTTGTGGGTTCATGCCCCACATCGGGCTCTGTACTAACAGCTCAGAGACTGGAGCCTGCTTGGTTCTCTGTCTCACTCTCTTTCTGCTCCTCCCCTGCTCTAGCTCTGTCTCTCTCTTCTCAAAAATTAATGAACATCTAAAATATGTTAAAAAATAAAATAAGGGGCAAATACCTCATGTAGAGGAGGGAAGGCCACCAAGGGGAAACAGCCCCACAGAAGGAAGGACAGCAGGTGCTGGAGGGAGAGTCTGAGCAGGTCACGGGTCTCAGGGCAGAGTAGGCAGGGACAGTTAGGGATGGGAACAGTTGGGAAGATCAAGGCCCAAATGAGGGATGGGATGTGAGCCTCCTTCTGTGACATGGTGGGCTGTCATCCTCCTACCCATCCATCTCTTCTTTCCACAGGGACAAGCGCTGTGATCACTGGACGAAAATTTTCAGCCCAAATTTGCATCTAGGCCAATTCAACCTGAGCAACATTGAGGGTGAGTCCTGAGTGCAGTGGATCTCCAGGGGCACGGATCTCCCTGCCCCTCTGCACAGATGACAAACTGTGGAGACCAGAGAGGAAGCAATAGCTCTCTCTGCCTGGCCAGGGTGGTCTGAAATCTCACCATCCACCATGAAGGTTACACTGGAATCCAGAATTACACTACGCAAGTGGTGACCACAGACTACAATCAGTTTTCCATACTGCACTTCAAGAAAGTTTACAACAACCAGAAGTACATCAAGGTCAACCTCTATGGTGGGTCTTGCCCCCACTGGGACCTGGCTCTTGGTCATGCTGAGGGAGAAGAGGCCCATCACATCTAGCCCCCAAGGTCCCCTTGACTCTGAGTCCCAGGGAGGAGGGAGAGAGGTCTTTCCACAGAACCCCTCATGAGGAAGGGGACTGAGGTTTCCTTTATGCTTTCAATAATGTGTATGGAGCTTTCACCAGCCGCTCACGAGCCATATTGGCCACAGAGAGGACCAAGGAGCTGCCTAATGTGCTGAGGAAAATCTTCACCAACTTTGCCAAATCCCTGGGCCTCACCGATGACAATATCATCTTCACTGTGCCCACCGGTAGTTACTAGCTGGGTAGAGGAGAAGGGCACATGGGGATTGCCCAGGAGTGATGTTCCCTCCCTAGGAAGGAGGGGAGAGGAGGGATGCAGGCCCCTGCTGTGGTCACTGGAGCCCCGGAGTCACTTGAAGTTCAGGAAGCCCCTGTCACACCCAGGGTTCTGGTTCCCATGTGTTCCTCTTTCACAAGAACTCGGACCTGCCCACGTGAGCACTGCACACCTGGGGCCACGTTTCCTCAGACTCCTTGCCTTGTCACCTGCCCATCCAGTCACTTCTCTTTCTTCTGGGCCCCCTCCACCTTTGTCCTGGGCCTGGCTCACCACTGACTTGGGAGTCGCCCTTGTTTCAGGCAGCCTGGCCTGGGCAGGTGCCTCCCCAAGGCTGAGGGGCTGTCAGGGCTCAGCAGGTAAATAGGAAGGAGGCTTGGTGCCCAAGCAGGAGCGTGGCTGGGCCTCATCTGCCTCCTTTGGAGAATGGCTGTCACCCAGGTCTGCTTGTCCTCAGGCCTGTCCGCCAGTGCACTACCCCATCATCTATCTGCTATAGCATCCCAGAAGGGAACCCCAGAGCTTCTGTGGCTGAGCCAGCCTGGGGGCCAGGGCAGCCTAGGGGCAGTGCAGGGGCCCTGCAGGTAAGGGATCCCACACACACACCCCTTCCCATACTGACCACTCTTTCCCCCCACAGATGAGTGCATGGATAAGTGAGCAAGCATGAGGTAAGTGAGGCTGGAGAGGAAGCTGAAGGGAGCCAGGGTGCAGCTGGGAGGGAGGTCCCAGGTCTGCCTTTGTCTCACCTGCTCAGCACTGCTGCTCTCTCTATTCCCCTGACTCCCTCTCAGGCGGTGTCTGCCTCTCTACCCCATCCCCTCATGCCAACCACTGCCTATGACACCGTCCAGCTGTCCCCACCAGCCTGGACACCACCGAGAGAGCCAGGGCACTCTTCTCTCTCTCTCTCTCTCTCTTTTTTTTTTTAATTTTTTTCATGTTTTATTTATTTCTGAGAGAGAGACAACATAAGCAGGGGGTCATAGAGAGACAGACACAGAATCTGAAATAGGCTCCAGGCTCTGAGCTAGCTGTCAGCACAGAGCCCAACGCGGGGCTCGAACCCACGAACTGTGAGATCATGACCTGAGCCAAAGTCGGACGCTCAACCAACTGAGCCACCCAGGCACCCCCAGGGCACACTTCTCACTGCACTGCCCCCAGCTGCCCCCCAGGATGCCCTGCTCACAGGACCCCTCCTTGCTTGTTAAACAAACACATGTCCCCCAGTCCCCAGTCTGTGCTCCTTGACCTCTGGGCCCTCTGAGAGGGAAAAGAGCCAAAGGCAGGCTCCTATTAACATCACTCCCAGGATCTGTGGTCCCCAGGAAGGGATGGAGGCCACAGAAGCAGAGTCCAGCTCTGAATGAACACTTCTAGTTCCCAACTCCAGGCATGGCCCCAGACCAGCAGCCGCCTTCACTCGCCCCTGCCCCCAAGCACACCGAGGGGCCACACCTCACATTTCACACCCATGTTCAGCCACCCGCAGCAGGTCAAAAGGGAGAAGACCAGCCAGGGCCAAGAAAAGAATTCTTGGAGATGTCTTTGATGCGAAAATGTGATTTTATTAAAGCACAGGGACAGGACCCATGGGCAGAAAAAGCTGCACTACATTGTGAGGAGTGACTGGTTATATGCTATTGCAGTGGAGGAAGCAAGTAAAGAGAAGTTTTCAAAGACATTTTCATATGCTAAAGATTTACAGAATACTGGAGGCCTAGCTATTGTCGGGCTAAAGTACTTTTCCCTCCAGCAAAGCATTAACATTATGACATTAGGGAGTTCCTGGAGAAATGTTCTTCTCTGCCAGTCTCAAGTATTTGTCAATGAGCTACAGGGTATCAGGTAATTTAATTTAATTTTCCCTGTCAATTTTTCTTACCTTTCTAACGGACATCACCATGGAGGGCAGAGTGTTAATAGAGGCTCCAGGAAACAGAGTCTATAAACTTCTAGAGATGAGACTATGGATAAGATTGCCTTTTTCTTCTACTTTACTAAGGTATTTTGTAAACTGATGGAGACCTATGTCCTGCATGACTGTGGTCTCTATCAGTTAACTGTTTTCTTTCCTTTCCTTTGTTCTTGGGCAGCCAGCAGTGTCAGAGGAATGTCACACATCCCACCGGGGTGGGGGGAGGGGTAATCCTAGCTTGTACTTTGCCCTTAGCTTGCCTTTAACTCCCTCATTCTAACATCTCTAAACAATTTAGACCCTTGTAACTTTAAGGTTATTGAAGGTGGAAGGTCTCTTTTGTAGCTATTTCTTGTTCAGTAAGAGTGTAGAGATATCCCTATCTATGAGTTAATATTGATCAGTTGGGGAAACACAACCGATTGCAGAAGGCAGAGGGAGCTGGATCCAAGGTGGATGATGAATAAGAACATTCTGGAGTAAAAAGGATGATCTGTTGGCTTGAAGTTATTGTAGTGATGGAGTCTTGTCACCAGGCAGAGAGACGTGGGAGAAAACAGCAAAACGTAATTAGAATAACAAGAAAGAATTGCCTAAATAAACGTCCTTTGGTAATTGATAAAAATCCACAAGTCCAGGAGATTAACCAGTCATGAAATGAAAGAGAAGGGTTGTTTAAAGCACTAGTTTGAGTAGTCAGGTCAGTTAGAAATCCAGGAATATTTGTGTGATAATCTAGAGTGTATACGGATGAAGTTTTGATGTGTTGGTGGGTTGGTCTGAAGCCTAGAGCCAAGAAAGAATTCTTGAAAATGTCTTTGGTGCAAAAAGGTGATTTTATGAAAGCACAGGGACAGGACCCAGGGGCCGGAAGAGCAGCACTGGGGTTGTGATGGGCAACTGATTATAGTCCCTCAGGTTGGGAGGGAGTCAGGGATACAGTAAGTCTGTAAGGTATTTTGAAAACAAGGTCTCCAGGGGCTCACTGTTTCTGGAGAAACACCACTTATTACCGTTGAATAAAACCTCCATCAAGAGACCCTTCAGATGCATATCAGAGGGCCATAAACTTGGAGTATGATTGCCGATATATACCTTGGGGCAGTTGAGAGAAAGGAAGTAGATTTACCAGATCCTGGAGGTTGGGATAATGTAACCTAAGGTTCCTTTGCCCCTGGCAAAGTGTCATTAAGAGTTCGCTGAGCTCTAGAAGTAGGTCACTGTGCTGGTTTTGAGGACTTGCCAAGAGGCTGTAGTCAGTAAGAGGATTTAATTTGTTGTTGGCCTTGGCTTCCTACATCACCATGGCAAGCACTTACACACCTTTACTTTGCTCTTGGGTAGCCAGGAGTGTTTGAGGAATATCACAGATATTCTACTTGGGGAAGGGGGGATATGCCAATCTGTTTTGCCCTCAGTTTGCCCCACGCTCCCTCATCATATCCCCTCTGAACAATTTGACACTTATATCTCTAAGGTTGTTAGAGAAAGAAGGTCTCATCTTCTATAGCTTCTTCCTGCTGAGTAGGGGCATAGAGTTGTCCCTGCCTATGGGTCCATATTGGTCCATCAGGAAACATATTGGGCAGTTAAGTGAAGCAGCTGAATCCAAGGTGGACACGGTGTATGAACCTCCTTGAGTAGAAAGGATTATCTGTTGGCTTGAAGCTATTGTAGTGATGGAGTCTTGGCACCAGGCAGAGAGACGTGGGAGAGAACAGCAAAACGTAAGTAGAATAACTAGAAAGATGAGCTCAAATGAAAAGTCCTTTGGTAGCTAACAAATATCCTCCAGTCCAAGAGATAACCCATTGCTAAGGAAAGAAAGGGATTGTTTAATGTGCCAATTGGAGTATTCCTGTCAGTTAGAAATCCAGAAATATTTTTGAGGTACTCTGGAAGGTATACCCACCGTTTTGTTCTTATGAGACTTTAACTTCCACCTTGTGCAGCACTTAAAACATCTAATACTATTCTGTTTCATAGAAGTGCTTTATGCATTTGAGTTATTTTAGTATTTAGTAATATAATGGTATTTTAAGAGTCACTTAAGGCCTTAAATGTGTAACAGGTGGTGGTGTATAGCCATCCTATAAATTCCATTTTGTTGTTTAAGCAAGCAGGTAATTAATAAGAAGTACTTTTATAGAAACAAGACAAATTCAGGTTAATGGTTAGAGCAGATTACAAACCCAGTGTCTCCCAGTGCTGCCATGAGAGTTTTTAGACGTTAGGCTTAAAGCATTCTCGGATGCTTGTGGGAACAGGCAGCAGGAATCAGATTGGTCTTCTTGGTCTGTAACTTAAATGCCTGTGGTGATCCTTTTGAATGGCCCATTGTAAGAAGGAATTGTTAGTAGAAATTGGGAAAGGAGATTTTAAAAAAAGGTCTAAACATCCTAAGAGAAGTTTGAGGTCTTCTACAGGTTCATAGGGATAAGAAGGCACATTAGTTTGCTCATTGAAACCCTGTGAAGGGGCCCCAGGTTTTATTTTAGATATAGGAGCCCATGAAGTGTTCCCCTCTAGCCATATTGCAGTGGGAGTAGATAATATGAGCCAGTAGGGGCCCTTCCATTTTGCAGTTAAGTCCCTTGTTGTTTTAGACTTTCAATCCTTTAAATAAACCAGGTGTTTTGGGTTTATATAGGGTGAGTTTCTAGTAACTATCACATCAGGTGTAGGGTGGATATGGTTGGCATATTTAGAGATTTAGTGTTTAACCTGGCCTCAGGTGGATAATAAAGCCCTATAGTCTTTATCTAGTCATAGGTCTGCAGTGAGAAAAGTCTTTGCATACAATTGTTGGGGGAATCCATCCCATTTTCCTGTTATTTAAATAACCATATGCCCATGGGGTCTTATGATTATCCCCACTGAATAACAAGCACAGAAGATTTTCTATACACAGAAATATTGTGACCATTTTTCTGAAGTTTACCTCACGTTGTCTAGTTTAGGCAAACAGCAAACATTTCAAGACAGAGCTAGAATTTAACATCCAGAGAGCTGCGTTATGGAAACATAGTTTTTTCTCTCTAAAAATCCTCATTTCCAGAGATAGCCAAATCAAGACTGTTCATTTGCAAAACAAGTCCGGTTTTAACATCTTTGGCCTAATGATTTATGTAAGCTCAGCAAGAATAGTGATTGATCCTAAGGATCCTTTCGAGTTTTGCTTTGCTAGAACCTTTTATAAGCAGTCTCCAGA